AGTTTATTACTGGACTGTAAATTCTAGTCCATTTTCTATATACCTTAGTACCACTTACTGTACCTTTGTAGTAGGTTTTACATTACTTACTATTGGTTTATAGCAAGCTTTCAAATCAGGGTATGTGAGTCCTCCAACTCTGATCTTCTTTTTCAAGATTCTTTTGGCTCTCTGGATCCCTTTCATTTCTATGAATTTCAGGATCAGCTTGTCAAAAAAAAGTTAGAATTTTGATAGGGGTTGCCTTCAATCTGTAGATCATTTGGGGAAATATTGCCATCTTCACAATAGTAAGCCTTCCAACCTATGAACACAGGATGGCTTTCCATTTACTTAGATTTTTAAAATTTTTTCTCTCAACAACATTTTGTACAAGTATACAAGTCTTGTACTTCTTTAAACTTATTCCTAAGAATTTTATTTTTTTCATGTTGTTATAAACAGAATTTATTTCTTAGTTTCATTTTCAGATTATTCATTGCTGGTATATAGAAATACAACTGAATGGGGCGCCTGGGTGGCTCGATTGGTTAAGCACCTGCCTTAGGCTCAGGTCATGATCTCAGGGTCCTGGGGTTGAGTCCTGTGTCCTAGGGCTCCCTGCGCAGTGGGGAGTCTGCTTGTCCCTCTGCCCCTCCCTTTTGCCTGTGCACTCTCTCTCTCTCTCTCTCAAATAAATAAATAAAATCTTAAAAAAAAGAAAAAATGTCTTAAAAAAAAAGAAATACAACCGATTTTTATATACTGATAGATCCTGCAACCTTGCTGAAATGGCTTATTGTCTCTAAAAGCTTTTTTTTGTGAATTCTTTTTTTTTAAAAGATTTTATTTATTTATTTGACACAGAGAGAGAGAGCACAAGTAGGCAGAGCAGCAGGCAGAGGGAGAGGGAGAAGCAGGCTCTCCTCTGAGCAGGGAGCCCCATGCGGGGCTCAATCCCAGGACCCTGGGATCATGACCTGAGCTGAAGGCAGACGCTTAACCGACTGAGCCACCCAGATGCCCCTTTTTTTGTGAATTCTTTAGCAGATGTTCTTGTCCTGTTCCTGATCTTAGGGGACATGCTTTTAGTTTTTCACAATTAAGGATGATGCTAGCTATGAGTTTTTGTAGTTGCCCTTATTATTATTAGGTTGAGGAAATTCCCTTCTTTTCCTAGTTTGTTGAAGGTTTTTATTGCAGAAGAGTACTGTGTTTTATCAAAAGCTTTTTTTCATCTACTGAGATGATTATGTGGATTTTCCCTTTTATTCTATTAATGTATTGTATTGCATTGATTATTTTCCATTTGTTGAGCCAATTTTGCATTCCTAGAATAAATCTCACTTGATTATGATATATAGTCCTTTTTCATTATTTCTTGAGGGCACAGATTTTACTTTCACTTCTTTGTGTCACCCAAAGTACTCAAACAGTACCACAACTGGATCCAGAATTAATGCCCAAGACATGCAATCATCATTAATAATACTACCATCTTTAACACTAACATGAGCACAAGGTGATGACAATTTGAATTAGAATGACAGGTCCAACTGAGAAATCTCACTTTACAGAATAAGATAAAACTTAAAGACTCTTAACCATAGGGGACTTTTAAATTTTTGAATGTTGTTGAATAATCCTTACATTCCTGGAATAGGCCTTGCTGGGTCAAGATCCTCTACGCTTTATATATTTTTTAATGTTTTATTAAGAAAGAACATAGTCACAAGAAAAAAAATTAAGTGTCCAGCTTAGTGAATTCTCAAAATAAAACATCTGTTTAACCAGTGAATAGATCAAGAAGCAGAACATTATCACCACCCCCTAAGGCCCCCGTCATGCCCTATTTTAGTCACCCCACCATGCCCTATTTTAGTCACCCCACCACCCAGCAGAGATAACCACTACCCTAACTTTTAATACCACTGATTAGTTTTGCCTGCTTTTAAAACTTTATGTAAAAAGAAGAGCAGTCAGGATCATTTCACTCAACACTGTGTTAGTGAGGTTCACCTATATTGTTGCCTGTAGTTATTGGTTGTATCTTTTCCTTGGTGGATAATTGTCCGGCTTATGAATATGCCACAATTTATTAACCATTCCAATGTTATTGGGCATTTGGGTAGCTTTAGTTTAGAAATATTATGAATAGTGCAATGTGACTATTTCTGTCATATCCTTTGATGAATCTTTGTGCCTTTTCTCTTGGGTATACTCAGGATACAACTGCTATCCTCAAGATTTCTTACAAATGTTGCTTTCTATTCATTACAAAGAAGACAATTATGTTTTAAAAATGAATACCTCAATTTGTCATGAACCTTTAAATATAATAATTTTTCTCATTCCAGGACCATGTAATTTATTAAGTAAAATTATTAGTATGTATGTCATGCTTTATTCTGGAATTGCCTAAAGCTGCACTGACTAATACAGTAGCCACCAGCCATATAAGGCTACTGAGCAACTGAAATGTGCTATAATTGTAAAATACACTGTAGATGTCAAAGGCTTAGTACAAAACAAAGAATGTATAATATCTCATTAATAAGTTTTACAGGTGGTAATGATAATATTTTGGATATACTGGCTTAGAACATATTATTAAAATTGATTTCACTTTTTTAATGTGGCTAATAGAAAATTTTAAATTACATATGTGGCTCATGATTATATTTCTATTGGACAGTGCTGGTCTATATTCTGCAATTAAATAAGTGGATAAGGATTATCTTAATACTTCATATGTACCTTACTGAAAGTTCTTTTTGACAAAGATCATGCTGTAGGCTACTTTGTACCCTCCAATACTGACACACTGTTGTTGGCATATCCTAGATATTTTTTTTTAAAGATTTTATTTATTTATTTGAGAGAGAGAGAATGAGAGATAGAGAGCACGAGAAGGAAGAGGGTCAGAGGGAGAAGCAGACTCCCCGCTGAGCAGGGAGCCCGATGTGGGACTCGATCCCAGGACTCCAGGATCATGACCTGAGCCGAAGGCAGTCGTCCAACCAACTGAGCCACCCAGGCGCCCTATCCTAGATATTTAATAAATACTTCTTAACCGTTTAATAAACTTTACTTTTTGCTTTTTAAGTTAAAAAAATTTTTTTGCTTTTTAAGTTAAAAATTCCACATTGTTTAGCTACATGATAACATTCCTAAGAGAAGAAGGAAAGATGGCAAAAGTCTGTATAGAAACTGAAAGAATAGGAATTCGGTATGAAAAAATGAATTGACAAACATTTTAACATTTTTCATCAGAAACAACTTTCTTGAATTGTAATTCCTTATAGATTCACATGAGTTATGTTACACTTAGTGTAGCATATGTATAAACAAAGTATTTTCAAAGACTCCATTTTTACATGAATAGGGACTTTTCCTTGTTTAGGTGAAATGTTTCTTTTCTTTATTTGCCCATTGGTAGAGTATTGTGAAACACTAATTACTTAGTCATAACAGGGGTAGCGCACTATGGACTGATTATTCATTTTACTGGATATTATCCAAATGGAGAACTGTGATCGCTGCCACAGGCCAAATAGCCAGGTTCTGCTTGGAGAATTGCTAAACATGTTAATTTCTTGAATTATAATTTTGCATTATGTAGACTTTGAAAGATATTAAAGTGTAACTTCTGAGCTTTGTGAGAAAAAGATAGGCCCCAAAGGATCTCAGAGTCACTTTATCCTTCATCTGACATGGGAAACCTAGGCTGAATCAGAATCTTTTGGTGGTAGGGAACAGAGACTCATTCAAAGTGATGCCCAGAGTGGTGGGTGTTTACTATGAAAGGGTAACTAGAATACAGTTTGGAAAGTGGACAGATCCAGTGCAGCCTTAGGGACCTGGATACTCATATCCCCCTGGAGAGCAGGTGTTTGTTGCTCTTATTCCATCACTGGGTCTCAGCTTCTCTTAGAGTTTGCTTCTACCATTTCTGCCCCCACCCACCTTCTACTTCATCCCAGGGGCTTTCTGCTTACTCCAGTGTTTTGCTTTCTGGAGGCCCATTTTCTCTACTCCAGCCTCAAGCCCTCTCTCAGCTTCAGTCTTTCTTTGGAATACCTCATTCTTTGCTCTCCCCTTTCAATTTCCAAGGGAGAATCTGATTGGCTTACTTAATTATCAGAGTCCCTATTTGGTGAGGATTGTTTGCTCCAGGTCACCTTCTAGGATGATGGCCAGTTTAAGGATTGTGTGCTCTTGGGTCACCTGATCACATGATCTAATCAGCCGTTGGGTAGGCAGGGGAGGGGGGCGGGGGGTGCTTTTTTGGGTTATTTGTGCAACCTTTGCCTTAAGAATAGTTTGGGTCATTTCAGCAGAGCCCCAGTTTCCTTTTTATAAGGGATTCTGGGTATAGCAAGCAACTCTCTGTCTTTCTCTCTTTGGCGCGCGAGTAAAACACACACTGAGTAAAATAAAGGGAATATAAATAGATCGATTGAACTATGCAGTTAAATGTAGGAAATAATGAATGAAAAAAGAAGAAAGATTCACTCAGGATCAAGAACTAGCATTGTCCGAGTAAAATTTCTTTGCAATAGAACAAGTTGGATTTTAAGAATGCTCCCCCCCCCCGCCCCCGCCATCAGACTATGATGCTGCTGCCATGTTCGTAGTTTTCTGGAGACCCCTGCTCCTGGCATACAGAACCAATGTCACGTTCCTTCTGGATCCCAGCAGTTATCACATTGGGGGCGCTTTATTTCTTTCGTTAGGAGAGAGATCCTGGCAGGAAATCTATGCCCAGGATCAGATGCGGGGGTTGGGGATCATCGTCACCGAGTGGCGTAGGGGAAAGGTGGCAGCAATCGAAGTTCGAGTCCGTATTCCTAGAAGCCTCGGGCGCCCTTCCACCTGTCTGGAGTCTGCCCCCTTCCCGGGCGTCTCCTCCGGGGAGTTTCCTCCTCAGAGGCTTGTCCCTGGGAGTGTGGGCGGCCCCTTTCTCGAGCGCTTAAACTCTTACCTCCCACCCCCCTCCTCCTCACCAGCCTTTCTCTTCTGCCTCGGTCACTTCCTTCCTCAGTCTCTTCCTCCTCGGTGTGTTGAAGAAGGTAACCCGGTCCGGACCGACGCTGCACCAGCTTTTCCTCGGAAAAGAAAAAGAGGTGGATAGGTGAGCGGGTCTCTCGGGAAGGTGACAGGCAGGTATAAAGGATGGACGGAGGTGTCCGGTGGAGGCCAGGCGGACGGGAGATCTGGGGCTGCGGGTGGGGAGATGGGGCCGGGAGGGGCCGAGGTGCGTGGAGACTGTACCTGGAATTGGGCTGAGACCCCGCGCGGGGGACCGGGTGGGCGCGCCCCCACGCCCCCGATTCTCCCGCCGACTTCCGCATCGGCTCACGTGACACGGTGCCGGCCGGGGGCGACCGGGAAGCCGGCAGCCGCGCGAAGGTTTCCTCCGCGGTGCGGCTCGTCGGCTTTGCACTTGCAGGCGGCGCGGGGGCGCGTTCTGCAGAGCCGGGCGGGGAAGGGCCGGGAACGAGGGGAGAGGCTCCCGCGAGGACTGCGGTGGCCCCCGCGCCCGGGATTCTGCGGCGCGGGCGGTGGGGTGCGGCTCCCTACGCTCCAGACCGTGGGGGTGGAGGGCGGGGGTGGTGAGAGACACTAGGGGCTCGGGGAGCCCCGGGCGGGGTCCTTTTCCGTCGCCCGGTTGGGGCGCTGGCTTTCGCAGCTCGCCGGGGCGCACCGGCCACAGGGGAGCGCGGGCGGGCGGCGCTGGCGCGGGACTGGCAGAGACAAAGGCTTCCGGGACGCGGCCCTTCCCTCGGGGGCTACCCTGGAGCCCGCCGTGCGGCCCCGGCCCCCCCCCCGAGTCCCGCGCTCCCCAATCGTGCACTGGTGCGGGTGGTGACCGTGTGATGGCCTGCAAGGGACAGGAGCTTGGGACCCCTTCCGGGCCAGCTCCCAAACTTGGAGCAGGGATGACCAAATATGGAGCGTGTGCGCGCCAGCGGGCAGGCAGGAAGGAACCCAAGTCATCCCTTGACCCACACCAGCTGCTAGTCAGGGGTTGCGAAGGACCGCTGAAAAACGTGGCCAGCCCCGGGGGGTGGATGTAGAGCTGGCTGCTGATTCCCAGGCGTTCCCACTCCAGCAGGCTTTATTCCTCGAACATTAGAAAAAATCCATGTATTGCCTCTAAACTTAAACAAAACAAAACAGAAACTATAAAAAGGTCCTTTAATATATTCTTAAGTGTATATTGATGGTGGAGCATTTCGGCATATGGCCCAATCCTCCGACATTCCGCTTTCTTTGTGATTCCCACGCACAATGCCTAATTAGATTCTGACACAGAGGACCGGACTAGCATCTGCTACCGCCTTGCCTTGAGCTCCCACTGAAAATCTCTTTCTTCCCCTTCACACTTGCTCTGCTGATGGCCTCTCTTCATTGTTCTTGATCTTGCTGCTTACTCCGGTCCCAGCCTTCTGTTCTTACAGAATGCCATGGGCCTCAAGGATGATGTAACAACGAGTATTCCCCCGCTTTGTTCCCGCTAAATAATAAAATAAATAAATAAAATCATGCCAAATTATGTGTGCTAGCAATAGTCTAAGGCAGTTGTTTTCCTACTTGTAGGGGTCTGGGCAGGGAGCCTTTCTTGCTTTGTAAGTGTTCTGCCTTAGCATGTACTCAGCATGTAATATTCCAAACAAACACAACTCACTATTATATTTAGCACACTTTGCATAATGACCGGGAAGAAGATGAAGAGGAAAAGAAAAAAATAGAATGATGTTGTAGAAACAGCATTTAATTGTGGGGAGTCCCTCTGAGCCAGTTTCATCATCCATAAAATTGTGTTTTTTTTAAGATTTTATTTTAAAGATTTTATTTATTTATTTGACAGAGAGCAAGAGCACAAGCAGGGGGAGCAGCAGGCCCCCCGCTGAGCAAGGAGTCCCAAGTGGGGCTCGATCCCAGGACCCTGAGATCATGACCTGAGCTGAAGGCAGATGCTTACCTGACTGAGCCACCCAGGCGCCCCCCCCCTTTTTTTAAAGATTTTTATTTATACATTTGAGAGAGAGATCACAGGTGGGAGGCAGGGGTGGAGGTAGAGGGGCTGAGGGAGAAGCAGACTCCCCGCTGAGCAGAGAGCCCGATGTGGGGCTCCATCCCAGGACCCTGGGATCATGACCTGAGCTGAAGGCAGACGCTTAACCAACTGAGCCACCCGGTGCCCCTATAAAATGGGTTTAAATAATACATACTTGGCAAGGTTTCTTAGGACATAGATAAGGAGTCTCGTGTGTAATTAATTATAAAGAAATGCTGGTTGACTTCCTTTCTTTAAATTGGATCTGCATACATCTGCTTAATATGATGCAGGTATTCACACTACTTAATAGTGAGATTTCCTCTTTGAGTCTCATTATTAAAGAGGAGCTAGGTCTGAAGTGTGCTGCTGATTGAGGGGAGGGCAGTGTTAAAGAGATGAGTGTTCAGAGTGGGAGGAAATCAGAAAACCTGAGAATTGGAGAGGACCATTGTCCCCTTGGACATTTCATTCTGCCTTCCGTTTAGGCTAATTTCCTCACTAACCCTCACAGATCCATACTACTTGCATCGGTGTTGTCAGTAACAGGTGCAAACTTTATTCATTGTTAGAGAGTTTTGACTGTTAGGAAGTTTTTTTCTTATGTGGCTCCCAAATCTGCCTATTACATCTATCTATCCCACCCAATAAAGCAGCGTGAAACAACACTATCACATAAATACATAAAAGAAACTGTAATGTTAAAAAATGGTCGCAGGTCTTCTCTAGGCTGACTTTATGGATCAGAATTTGTTAGAGTACAAGTGACAGAAACTCAATCAAACCAGCACAAGCAAAACCAGGAAAGACTGATTGGTTCATGCAACTGGAAAGTCCAGGGTCATATACAGGCTCAGTCATTGTAGTAACATGGCTGGGCTTTTCTTAACGTTAACGTTATTCCTGACAGGCTGTTTTCACATGGTCACAGTTTACATTAGGAGCTCTAAACTTACATCTTAGAACCTAGTGGGAGAGTGTTGTTTTACCGATCTGGCAAAATCCCTGGGCTGAATCTCATTGTTTAGGATAGGATTACTGACCTTATGCCCCAGATCAATTATTCTGGCTCTGACCCACTCCTGGGCTTTAGGGTGAGGCTCTACCAAATTCCATTGGTTTAGAACAATGAAGGAAAAACGGGACCCCCCCAAAAATTAGACTGCTCGAGCCGGAATGGGGAATGGATGCTTGGTAGGTAAAAATCACTGCTGTCCACCACACTAACATCTCCAGGGTTTTTTCTACCATTATTTTCATGGCCTATCTTTCTGTTGTATCTTCTGATTATATTTTAACTTTTTAGCATTGCTCAAATTATCTCAAATTGAATATAATGTTATAGATATAATTTCACCAACACAAAGCTCTCAATATTGGGAAACTATAATTTTTGATACTGAATTTTATGTAGATGCATTAACCCAAGATGTTGCATTTTGTTGCAATAAACACTTTTTTTTTTTTGGTGCAAAAAGGTGGTTTTATTAAAGCATGGGGACGGGGCCCATGGGCAGAAAGAGCGACTGCCACAATAGACACTTCTTTTTTTTTTTTTTTTAAAGATTTTATTTATTTATTTGACAGAGAGAGACACAGCGAGAGAGGGAACACAAGCAGGGGGTGTGGGAGAGGGAGAAGCAGGCTTCCTGCAGAGCAGGGAGCCTGATGCAGGGCTCGATCCCAGGACCCCGGGATCATGACCTGAGCCGAAGGCAGACACTTAACGACTGAGCCACCCAGGCGCCCCACAATAGACACTTCTTAAATGATAATATTTGCACAAGTAATGTAGCAGGGAGTAGTGGTGCTTTTAGTTATGAGCTGCTAGAAAACCTGGGGTACCAATCAATATCACTTAAACATAGATTTCATTCTTGTTTTTCAAAGTTACCAGGAATTAGTTACAATCTGTCTGGATACAATTATTTCTTTCGAATCGTCACTCCAAAGTAAACCATTCATACAACCCCAATTTTTTAGTCCCTTCTTTGTTTGGAAAACAGACTGAATTATTGCATAATCTGCCAGTGGCCCCTACTTTCTCTCATGTTCTGTTTTTCCTGAGTTCCTGCCTTCTTAAGGAAACTGTCTTTACTGCCTTTACTTCTTTGACCCTGCATGGTTGGAGTTCTCTCACCTGCTCTTTCCCTATTTCTTGCCCCCCCCCTTTCTGTAGGTGTTTGCCACGGCCCTTTACCTCCCTTTTCTGTCTCTGAACACTCTTGCTCCAAATCAGCAACTCCATGGTGACAGTTTCCACAGGCGGTGTTTCATTCCCCTTCATGCCCTTGTCTTCAGTTTGAATCCAGTATTTATTGAATCTGTACTCTTGGTGCCAGGTGTCACCCAGCAGTGAACATTACAGTCAGATTCCTGCATTGAGGGTCTTTACCATCTTGTGGTGAAAGCCGAGAAACTGGTAATCCCAGCCATCTGAAATGGAGAGGGTGCACAATGCTATGGGGGAGGGCTCCTCCACCAGGGTTTCAGGGAAGGCTTCCTGGAGGTAGTCATATCTAAGCTGGGACTGGATGTGTGGGAGTTAGCTGTGAGAAAGAGGAACTGCAATAGTCAGGGTCAAAGACACAGTATGTAGGAAGGTTGGAGGTGGGAGAGCCAGGGGCGTTTGAGGAATAGAAAGAAGCTCCATGTAGCTGCAGCCCAGAGTTCAAGGGTGTAGGGTGGAGGAGGGTGGAGGAGGCTATGATGGTGTGCGGAACCCAGGCTGGAGAAGACCAAGTGAACCAAAATAGGTCTCACAGCTCCTGTTAGTCCTGGCCTCTTCCTTATCTGAGATGAATGGTCCTTGCCACCAGCTCTCCACCGGACACTGCCCAGGGAAGGACCCGATGCCCTGCGTGTGACCCACAGGCATCATCGCACCTAACGATATTAAAATTGCCCTGTATTGATCTGCTTTCCCCACTAGACTGCAGGCTCTGGGAGGGTTGGGAGTGTGTTCCTTTATCTTGGTACTCCAGCTTCTAAGAAGCTTAGAGCCTGCCTCAAATGTGCTATGCTTTTTCTCCTTTGCTTCTGTCCTTTTGCACACACTCTTCCCCACTCGTAGAGCACCCTTTGCCAACTGTCTACCTGGTCCTCATCTCTCCAGTGACCTCTACAAAGTCTTCGGTGGCTTCCTCCTTTATGCTCCCATAATGCCTTGGACCCACCACTCAAAGAACGCTGTCACATTGCCATTATTCATTCTAGGTCTTTCTCTGCTTCTGGACAGTGAGTTTCCTGAGGGCAGGTCCTGTGTCACTCACCGTTGTGTTTTTGGTGCAGAGCAGAGCATCATGAAGATGGGCTTAGAGTTTAATAGTGGGTGCTGCATTCTCCCCAATATCCTATGTAGAATAAGAGTGGGCACAATTGGGGGCAATTATAAAGCACAAAGGGGCAATTATAAAGACAGAGGGGAAGTGGAGGTACTCCGGTGTCATGTACGTCACACAAGTATTTTTAGGAAGAGGGATGTGGTAAATTAACAATGACAAATGCAACATGGGGAAAAAAAAAGAGGGGTGCCTGGGTAGCTCAGTCGGTTAAGTGGCTGCCTTTGGCTCAGGTCATGATCATAGGGTCCTGGGATCGAGCCCCACATTGGGCTCACTGCTCAGCAGGGAGCCTGATTCTCCCTCTCCCTCTGCCTGCCGCTCCCCCTGCTTGTGCTCTCTCACTCTCTTTCTCTGTCAAATAAATAAATAAAATCTTAAAAAAAGAAAAAGAAAGAAAGAAATGGCCCTTGGATTTGGCAAGATGTGCTTAATGGGATATAGAAATGGTAATAATATAGCATTTTTTTTCTCCCTCAGGCAGCAATGAATGTGGATCACGAAATTAACCTCTTAGTGGAGGAAATTCATCGTCTGGGTTCAAAAAGTAAGTATTCTAACACAGCCACAGCATTCTGAGTTTACCTCAGAGCAGGTAGGACCAGCTTTTTTGGTAGAAGCCTAGGAAGGGGTCACCCAGGACTTCGGGACATAGTTATAGAAGCTCTGCCCTCAGCGATAGAGTGATTTCTGGAGACAAAGCCTTTGGGGTATTGTGATTCTGAGGCAAGGAATGGTTTGAGATATTCCATCATCCCTTTAATAGAAAGAAAATTGCTGTGCTTCTTTAATCTGGCTGCATTGAATGGTGATTGAATCAGTTCAAATTTTTATTTGTCACAGTGTTAAAATTCATTTCTTCTGCTTTATCTTGCCACCATCTTACAAACTTCCAAATGACTAGGGACTCAAATTGTCTTTATTTTCTCCAAATTCTTGAGTTTTGTATAACCAGGTATTTATGTACATGTAACTAAAAGAAACCATATCCTTTACATAGTGTTTTTTTAAAGATTTATTTTATTTTTTTAAGACCTTATTTATTTATTTGACAGAGAGAGAGAGAGCACAAGTAGGCAGAGTGGCAGGCAGAGGAAGAGGGAGAAGCAGATTCCCCACTGAGCAGGGAGCCCGATGTGGGGCTCGATCCCAGGACCATGGGATCATGACCTGAGCCGAAGGTAGATGCTTAACCAACTGAGCCACCCAGGCGCCCCTGATTTATTTTAGAGAGAGCGGGAGAGAGAGAGAGTGCACAAGCTGGGGAAGGGACAGAGGGAGAGAATCTCAAGCAGACTCCCTGCTGAGCATGGAGCTAAACTCGGGACTTGATCCCATGACCCTGAGATCATGACCTGAGCTGAAATCAAGAGTTGGACCCTTAACTGACTGAGCCACACAGACGCCCCTACGTGGTTTTTTTTAAATCAGCTTTTTCTTCAGCAACATATAAGCAGCTACTGTGAAATTAGTGCCATGTGAAATTGGTAGTATTAGTGTCCTTTTCCAAGTTGTAATGAAAGTAACTATTATGTTTGTAGCTTTAGATCTGTACATCTCAGATAAGATATACAGGAGTTCAGGAACGTTCTGAAAATTGTAAGAGCAATAGACATATTCAGCAACAACTAGGATAATGGAACTCAAAGTTTTAAAATTACATCATATAAAAAAATTAAATAAAATTACATCATTGTAAGTGAAAAACAGCTTTAAAAAGTACCGCGTAAGAGTTGTTTTTGTCATAGCTTGAATTTTCTTACTTACAGCTCAGTCTGCTTTTGAATCACAAATCACTTGAAATAAGACATACTTGGGGGGCGCCTGGGTGGCTCAGTTGGTTGAGTGACTGCCTTCGGCTCAGGTCATGATCCTGGAGTCCCGGGATCGAGTCCTGCATCGGGCTCCCTGCTCAGCGAGGAGTCTGCTTCTCCCTCTAACCCTCCCCCCTCTCATGTACTTTGTCTTTCTCTCATTCTAGCTCTCTCAAATAAATAAATAAATCTTTAAAAAAAAAAGACATACTTGGAAAATTCCTTGCACCATTAGTATCAAATGTCCCCTGTACTAGTTCTCCATTGTTGTTGTGAATCTTTACTTTATTTTTTTTTATGATTTTATTTATTTGAGAGAGAGAGAAAGAAAGAGAGAGCTCATGAGCACAAGCAGGGAGAGGGAGAAGCAGACTCCCCAGTGAGCAAAGCCCGATGCGGGACTCGATCCCAGGACCCTGGGGGATCATGACCTGAGTGAGAGGCAGATACCGAACCAACTGAACCACCCAGGCACCCTGTGAATCTTATTTTCAATAGTGAAAGAAACCCATGTTCCTCATTTCTACCTTTCCAGTTTGGAGCTCCGTGAGGTCATGCTCTTGGGAGTAGTATTATTGTTTAGATTGTTAAAGATATTAAGGATGTATTTCGAATGATCTGTAGGATTTTCCTTTCTCCTAGACCTGTCTTCATGTTAGCCTAGTGTTTATTGGTCAGATTCAATTGCATTTAAAATTCTGACTTTACCCTAGAACAGTTATTATTCTACTAGGGCAAACTGAACCTGCACTTCAGAATTAGCAGCTTTACAAACTAGAAGACTACACAGTAATTATCATAATTTCTGTAAGGATGAAACGTCTTGAACTTTGCAGCTTCCCTAAGCCTCCTTGATTTACCTGTTCCTGGAAATAAATGAATTCTTGAGCTGGAAAGCATCTATGGAGATAGGTTATCTGTGGACAGATTATGGTTAATTATGTAAGTTGTGTCTGGGATAATTTTGTAAATTATGATTTAGGTGAATCATTTTTAGACTAATCTAAATATAATGTATTAGGTGAAGCTGGAAATTGACAAATTTAGTTTTATCTACTTCTTTTATTTTTTCTCCAAATTTTTACTTAAATTCTAGTTAGTTAACCTATTTATCTATTTCTTTTAAAATGAAATTCTTTAAAGTCTTTCATTTTTCATCCAGTGGAAAAAAATTTAAGTGGATAAAGATTATTTGGAGATTTAAATTCTTTCATTCAACAAATATTTCTTGAGTGCTGTCTTTGTGCTCAAGTGCTGGACATATGAAAATAAACAAAATTCCATCTCAGCCCCTGTGGACCTCTTTAGGTAGCAGGAAGACAGACAAATGAGCTAGAAGCATGTATGGGGAAGTAGTTAAGAGCATGGGCTCTGGAGTCAGGCTCTCTAGGAATGAATTCCAGCTCCCCTGCCACTTACTGTGTGACCTTGGGCACATTGCTAACCATTTTTATGCCTTGGTTTCCTTATTTGGATAATAATACTCTATTTCAGTGATTCAAAGACACTTTTTTCCCCAAGCTTTAACATCTCTAAAGTAAGAATGCGTTTTATAATCCATGTTGTGCTATAATTAAATTGGCAGTTTAATTGGAACATAAAATAATGGTGCTTCTTGCAATGAATTGTGCCTTACCTTCCATGAAATAAGGATTAAGGGAGTTTTAATTACTATAAAATGCATTGAACAGTTCTACGAGCATAGCAAGGACTCAATACATATTAACTATTATTACTGTAATTGATGGTGAGTGCTTTGATATATACTTAATTTTATAAGAAGTTATTAACTTGACTGAGGGAATCATAGAGCACTTCTCAGAAAAGGTGACATTTGAGCCCATTCTTGAAGAAAAAGAATTAGCTAGAGAAAGGGCTCTGGGATGCTGGGCCGATGGCTCAATATGGGCAAAACTGCCAGGGCAGGATCTCTCATGTCACCTTGGGTAACAGCAAGTCATTTGATTTTGACTGGATCAAAAGGTGCATAGAACGATATGGCAGGAGACCAGGCGAGAGAGGAGTGCAAGGGCCAGAGCATGAAGGGTCTTATCTGGAACGCCAAGGGCGTCACTATTTGAAGGTGGTAGGGAGCCACTGAAAGATTAGAGTAGAAGAGTATCGATCAGGGGCTCCTAGCTGACTTAGTCTGTTGAGTCTGTGACTCTTGATCTCGGGGTCGTGAGTTCAAGCCCCAATTTGGGGTAGAGTTTATTAAAAAAGAAAGAGAGAGAAACAGATTTGCATCTTAAAGGTTTCTTTCACATATTTTATTCCGCACCAATATGGAGGATGTATTGGGGGACAAAAATGCAGAAAGGGAGGCTGGCAAGGAGTCTTGCAGTTGTCCACATGAGAATCAATTCCAGCCTAAACCAAGAAATTAATTGTCCATGGAGAAGAGGCTAGAGCAACAGAACATACAAAGGAAATGGAATCACTTATGAGATTGAGGAGCGAGTGGGCAGAACTCCAAGATTATATCCAGGTTTCTGCCTTTTGCGCCTTTAAGAAATGTAACCTGGGGGCACCTGAGTGGCTCAGTTGGTTGAGCATCCAACTCTTGGTTTTGGCTCAGATCATGATTTCATGGGTCGTGGGATCAAGCCCCATTTCCGGCTCTGCACTCAGCGGGGAGTCTGCTTGAAGATTCTCTCCCTCTGCCCCTCCGCCCACTCTCTCTCTCTCTCAAATTAAAATAAGTCTTTTTTAAAAAATGAAAAGCTCTAGGGCACCTGGGTGTCTCAGTTGGTTAAGCGACTGCCTTCGGCTCAGGTCATGATCCTGGAGTCCTGGGATCGAGTCCTGCTTGGGGCTCCCTGCTCAGCGGGGAGCCTGCTTCTCCCTCTGACCCTCTCCCCTCTCATGCTGTTTCTCACTCTCTCAAATAAGTAAATAAAATCTTAAAAAAAAAAAAAAAAAAGGAAAAGCTCCATATTACACTCCCTGTAAAAGCCAGCACCGGTACTGCCTCCTTCCAGAAGTCTTCCCTTCCCATTCTAGCCCAGAGTCATTTTACCCTTCTCCAAACTGTAGGATGTCCTGTCTTGGCTACTTACTGCACATCCAGTCACATACTGCTTTGTCCTATTGCTTCACTTATATGTGTATATTTCTTATTTCCTCGCGGGAACTGAAGCCATTTCTTTGAAAGCTAGAAAGTGATTCTCTACTTCCCTCTACTTGCCCAGCACAGTGCTGCACTCACAGTAGGAATATACTAAGTCTCAGGTTAGAAGTTCTCACGGGAACTCAAGAACCCTTGGCCAAGGAATGGTCTCCCTCACTGTGATGACCATGTCCTTGAGAGCAGGCACAGCTATTGGAGGGGAGAATGTGGAGCAGTGCTGAAGGAAGGGGGTCAGAAGTTTAGCAGGTAGATCAAAGCAATCAACCAACAATGGGGAGGTGTTTCATATTATTCTTATCTCCAAGTTTCCAGTTGATTGATTTTTAATCAAAGATCCACCTTTTGTTTATCTTATTTTTTTAAAAAAGGCTTACTTTTTACAGCAGTTTTAGAATACAATAAAATTGAGGAGAAAGTACAGAGATTTCCTGTATACCTGCTATCCCCACACATGCATAGCCTCCCCCATTACCAACATCCCCCAGCGGAATTGCACTTTTATTACAACTGATCATCTACGTGGACACATCATCAACCACAGTTCATAGTTTATAGTTCACGCTTAGTGTTGTACATTCAATGGGATTGGATAATGTTTAATGACATGTATCAATCATTATAGTATCATACAGAGTTGATTCACTGCTCTAAAAATCCTCTGTGTTCTGCCTGTTCATCTCTCCCCTACCCCAACCCCTGAAACCCACTGATCTTTTTATTTAGTTTTATCTTTTTCCATAGTTTTGCTTTTTCCAGAATGTCCTATGGTTGGAATCATACAACACATAGCCTTTTCAGATTGCCTTCTTTTTCTTAGTAATACATATTTAAGGTTCCACTATGTCTTTTCGTAGCTTGATGGTTCATTTCTTTTTAGGGCTTACCTTAATTTTTAACATCTATATTAAAAACTGGTCTCCAATCTGTATAATCTAGGGATCTGGTAAATACAGGTATCTTCATTTTTAAGGTCACCAGTCCCTCCCTGGGGCTTGGAGTGTGTTCAGAACACACTTAGAGAAACACTGCTCCCGACCCAAACCTTTTCTTATATTTGTTATTTTTTTATTGATTCAACAACACCACAAATAAAAAATCAAAATGTAGGGGCGCCTGGGTGGCTCAATCAAGTTAAGTGTCCGCCTCTTGGTTTCAGCTCAGGTCATGGTCTCAGGGTCCTGGGATGGAGCCCCACTTCTTTGGCTCTGCATTCAGCAGGGAGTCTGCTGAAGGATTCTCTCCCTCTGTCTCTCCACCCAGTCATGCACGGGCGCAGCATGCGCACACACTCTCTCTCACTCAAACTGATAAATAAATCTTAAAAAAAAAGTCAAAATGTAGACAGAGGGGAATTGGTCCACAGTAATAACACTGTAACACATTCACTTTTTGTAAGTGGGTTTTAGTTCACTTCTAGTCTTTGTCCAGATGATCCTAAGGCTAGGAGGTGTACAGAACATGGTATTATTTCATCACTTTTGGGTCTGGCAAGAGATGACATTGAATTTATGAGTGTGAACTGTTCAATTGTAATCTTGGTTAACTTATAGTTAGATGTTTTTTAAAGATTACATAAATCTACCATATATGGGGGCAAGACTTTGCATTGGCTAACATTGTATTTTCTCAAATTAGATGCTGATGGGAAGTTAAGTGTAAAATTTGGGGTCCTCTTCCGAGACGACAAATGTGCCAACCTCTTTGAAGCATTGGTGGGAACTCTCAAAGCTGCAAAACGAAGAAAGATTGTTACATACCCAGGAGAGCTACTTTTGCAAGGTGTTCATGATGATGTGGACATTATATTGCTGCAGGATTAATGTGGTTTGCGTATCTTTGTTTATTGTTATTTTTTGTTTCTGGTAAACTGGAATATTAAGTCAAGGGACAAACATGAGCATACTTAATGTATTTTTATAGAACTTTGTAAACAAAAGGAGACTCTTATTTTAAAAGTCTGTCTTTTTTTTATACCTTGAAAGAAAATTTATGTATTACACTGTCAGATAAACAAAACCTATTTTTTTCTTCAGGAATCTGATTAGAAAAATGTAGGCATTGAAGCTTTTTAGGTAGGGGTGAAAGGGTGTTTCATAAATCATTCTTAGACAATTTCTGCAGATATTTGACATTCCATAAAAGCAAGAGGCAAAACTGAAGACCAGCTCCCACAAGGAATATTGTAATGTTTATGTAATAAAAACATGGAACTATGTTAAAATTGATTGCCTTACTTTGTCTGATTATATGCCTCTTAGAAGTTTTTGCATCAAGATTAGATAACTGCAATAAAAGTTATCATTTGAAGAAAGATTTCCTTAAAACCACAGAATTTTAAAAGTAGGGATGTGTTATGATTGGGCCCTATAAAAAAATATTTGGTGTCTGTTATGTGCTTACCACTGAGTTAGGGGACATGCCAAAAGAAATGTAACCTAAAAATTTCACTATCTAATGGGATTAGTTGGGTCCACCTGAAACAATACAGAAATGTCTATAAATCCATGTTGCAGCCCCCGGTACAGAATCGAAAATGATACAGAATCTCAAGGAGGGTAAAATCTGTGAAAACCATGGTAGTTGGAAAAGGTATCATAGAAGAGTTAGAATTTGCATGATTGGAGCTGATTATTCATGAAGGAAAAAGATGGGATGGATCAGGGTGATGACTCAGGCAAGGTTAAGACAGGGGAACACAAATTAGCAAGGCTCATTCTTGTGAAAGGTCAGATTTCAGATTGACTTTCGGAATGTTAGGGAGAGAGGTGATTCAGATTGGATAAATAAGGTGGACCCTGGGGAACCACAGAGAAGAGTCTGAACAGAAATTGGAGCAGGGAAGTTGCATGATGAAAGTGATGTTTCCTGAAGGGTGGCTCTGGCACTGGCGACTAAGGAAGATTTTAGAGAGCAAAGACACAGTCAGAAAAGTCAGCTAAAATGTTGCTCAAGAATCCACGGGGGTGGGGATAATGGAAAAGCAGAGGAAGGATGGACTCCCGAGTGCATTTTTTTAAAATTATGTTATGTTAATCACCATACATTACATCATTAGTTTTTGATGTAGTGTTCCATGATTGTTTGCATATAACACCCAGTGCTCCATTCAGTATGTGCCCTTTTTAATACCCATCACCAGGCTAACCCATCCCCCACCCCCCTCCCCTCTAGAACCCTCAGTTTGTTTCTCAGAGTCCATAGTCTCTCATGGTTCGTATCCCCCACCGATTTCCTCCCCTTCATTTTTCCCTTCCTACTATCTTCTTTTTTGTTTTTTTTTAAACATATAATATATTATTTGCTTCAGAGGTACAGATCTGTGATTCATCAGTCTTACACAATTCACAGTGCTCACCATAGCACATACCCTCCCCAATGTCTATCACCCAGGCACCCCATCCCTCCCTCTACCCCCACTCCAGCCACCCTCAGTTTGTTTCCTGAGATTAAGAATTCCTCATATCAGTGAGGTCATATGATACATGTCTTTCTGTGATTGACTTATTTTGCTCAGCATAATACCCTCCACTTCCATCCACTTCATTGCAAATGGCAAGATTTCATTCCTTTTGATGGATGCATAATATTCCATTGTATATATATACCACTTCCTCTTTATCCATTCATCTGTTGATGGACATCTTGGCTCTTTCCATAGTTTGGCTATTGTGGACATTACTGCTATAAACGTCAGGATGCACGTACCCCTTCGGATCACTACATTTGTATCTCTGGAATAAATACCCAGTAGTGCAATTGCTGGGTCGTAGGG